ATGGTACTTGTTAAATATTTATGTTTATTTTTTAGGGCACCACATCTCTCCTAAATAGCTATATACGATTGAGTTTCAAATGTTTGATTTTTGAAAAATCAACCTTGAGGTTTATGACATCCATAAACGTTGAGGAGTTTGTGGTGTTCTATAAAATGTGAAACTTTTGTGGTGCCATCAGCAAACACAAGTAGTCTTGAGCAAAATAAGCAAATACTATGATGTTTTTCTTCTCTGCGCAAAGTTATGCAACAATCTAAGTATCAACAGAAAAAGTTATATGCTTATACTAGCTAGATTGATATTCAATTTTTTTCACGGTAAATCTACATTGGGAATGTGTGGTGTTTCATGAGTACAACGGTTTTGAAAAAGCACTCACGTGAAAGAGGAGTTGTGGACTTTTTGTAATGGCTAGATTGAGGTTTAACTGTAAATAGAAAATCTACACCGGGAATTTGTGGTGTTTCATGACTACAACAGTTTTGAAAAAGCACTCATGCGAGAGAGGTTTTGTGGCTTTTTTGTCATGGCTAGATTGAGGTTTAATTGTAAACAGAAAATATACAATGGAATGTGTGGTGTTTCGTGAGCACATCGGTTTTGGAAAAGCACTCACGTGAAAGAGGTGTTGTGGATTATCTTTTTGTAATGCCTAGATTGAGGTTTAATTGTAAATAGAAAATGTACATTGGGAATGTGTGGTGTTTCGTGAGCACATCGGCTTTGGAAAAGCACTCACGTGAAAGAGATGTTGTGGATTTTTTCTTGTAATGCCTAGATTGAGGTTTAATTGTAAATAGAAAATGTACATTGGGAATTTATGTTGCTCATCGGTACACAGGGTTTTGAAAAAAAAATCACGTGAAAGAGGTGTGGTTGTTAGGTGAAACTTAAAAAACATGACCGTAGTACAAGCCTCATATATACAATGTTATACAAAAAAGTGTTGGAAAATATGTACCATATAAATTCATAGTTTTGTCTTCTTACAAACAGCACCACACCCTCAAGGTATAATTAGGAATGCACTGTCAAGAATAATTCTTATAATTTTTGGTATATTAAACAATAATCTGGAGTTATGAAGAGTGTAGGTGCAGCCGAGCTTCAAAAAAGAACACTCTCGTATGAGAGATACTTGTATGTCATGTTGTATTACCTCAGCGTATAAACATATCTTATATTTTGATACGGAGGTAATAGTTAGCAAACACAGGTAGTTTTACACACATTGCTTCTCTAGCTGCATGTATCCCCATCATCTCTCCCGTCACTCCTTCTACCCGCTCTGCTAGCAGGAGAGGAGATATAAGCTCATTGACCCTCCTTTCTAATTTCTTTTTAGACCCATCTTGCATAGTGTAGGTCTTTTTCTCTACAGTTTTCCTTGGACAATAACAAAAGAAAGAAAAATATCAGAAACTAATTTTAGGCATTTGAGGCCGTAAAAACACATAATTAAACGGAAACACTAACGCCCACACGTATGGGCATTCTCCAACTCGCCCACACGTCTGGATCGTCGTTCACTATCTTTTGCACGAATCTTGACACGAAAAGATGGATTTGATGTGCCACGTAGGACGGGACTGGTGTGTGGGCGTTGAAGAGTTTGCCCACATGCTCGCACCACGCTGTTTGCCAGCTGCATTGTGTTGGCGAACTAGTTTCTGCCCACACAGCCACCACCTAGGTCATGCGCGTGTGGGCGAACTTCTTTTCGCCCCACACGACACTCCTTATGGATGACAACTGCAGTTACGCAAACGTGGCAACTCGGTACACACATGACAACTGTGATTCTTTGCTAGACGACAACTGCAGTTGCGCGTACGTGGCAACCAGATAAATACACATGGCAACTGTGATTAACAATACATGGCAACTATGGTTGGACCACACGTGGCAACTATGTAAACACACATGGCAACTACTGTTTGACCATATGTGGCAAGTAGTTAATCACACACTGCAACTACGCTTTAACTACACGCGGCAACTACCATAAATTAGACATGGCAACTATAGTTAACCAAAACAGATAGAGTTGCCATGCTTTTACAACTACACTTGTCATCCCGGATAACTACATCTGCCAACCAGGAAGTCAACTAAATCGTCATCCCGCGGGATACTTAACCTAGCTGCGCTAGGACGTGTGGGCACTTTTGCTTCGTGCCACACGCTCGGGGTGAAGATGAGTAGTACTTGTTGGGCGTGTGGCATGAAGTAGCCGCGCCCACACATGTGGGCAATTCTAATGTCCGCCCACACACAGCCCGTTTGGGCTGCCTCCTGCTCACACCATACACTGTATGTGGGCGCATGTCGAATATACCACACGTGTGGTGGATATCAGCGTCCTAATTAAAATACCATGGCAAGTTGGATTCCAGTGGAACAAAAATACATATGAATTATTAGAAGAATTTTTTATGTTGCACATGAAAGTACATGGATTTCGATATTAGATGTTACTTGATTAGAGAGACAGAACTGAGAGAAAAATACATGTATCGAGTTTTTTTCATGAGTTTGGAGCTCACATTTAGGCTTCTCCAAACTTTGTTGGAAAAGTGAATATCATGTCTTATGAAGAAAAAAAATCGTTGGTGCAATTCTATGATTAAAAGAATAGGAATAGATTTTTCTTCAAAGGGATTACACTCATATGGTTTCCCTAGAAAAATATTTTATCCCAAAGGACCATGAATTGATAAAAAAACATTCTCAATTAAAGTCAACAATTGGTTCTTGTCCTTAATTAAGTGAGGAGCAATAAAAATCATACATCCCCACGGTGATTGAGACTTTTTTAATTCTTTTTTTATTAGAAGATATAGAAGTCTATCAAGTAGGCAACCCAAGAAATGTCCACAAAACCATAGGCAATGAGATATCCATATGAGGAGGTTGTAGGAGTGTGTGATCCGTTTGGTCATTTTCCGTCTCAATGGCAAGAATGGCGAGCTCACAGTTACCACACGCCGACCCGATCGCACATACCTCTTCTCTAGATTTGATAACAATCCTAAGGTTAGGGCATTCTGGATGTGATTGAGATGTATGGCTCCATGTACTCTGATGGATTAAGTGGCTATTAGGGGTGAAAATGAAGTGCAATGCTGAACCTTTGCAGTAATTTCCAACGTCGGGTGGCACAGGTCAAAATGTATATGTTTCTTTTCCAGTCTACCACAACTGTCCTATCTAGGATTAGGTACACATAAACAAAGCTGGTAGTTATCCCAATCTTGAAATAAGCTTTCACCCCGCTTTATAAATAAAGCAACATCACGAAGTACTAAAACCAAATCGTGGGCTTTACTACCTCACTTGGCATCTATACCGGAAACAGAAAGGATCGGCCATAAACAAGGGCAGTAAGGATGCCTAGAACCCATTATTTACATCAAGTGTCAATGAATAGGTTATTAATTTGCAGAGTAAGTGACGACTAGCTGTTTACAAATCAAGTGTTTGCTAGTTCCATGATTCGTGGTTCATGGAAGATTGTACAGTCACCAACTAGGGAGTGAAATACAAAAGCCCACCACAATAGCGGTCTCGTTAGCAAAAAAAAAAGAAAAACACCCACCACTTTACAATTCGTTGCAAAAAATCACCGCACAAAAAAATTGACAGTGGCAAAAACACTAACCGGCGAAGCTAATTGCTTTGCTGACGTCATTAATTGGTCTGGCCCGCCTGTCCAACTAAGTAGCAGAAAAAAGTGCCATGGGTGCATTGACTTGGTCCTTCTTTCTCCTTCCTCACTCTGCACCTCTCTCTCTAGCATTACATCAAACACCTCACATGCATCTCTTCTCAAGAGGGGTACCTCCACCCTAGAGGTTGCCGCCCGTGTGCTGCGTCAAAGTTCCGGCTCCGCGCCAACACACGACCATGTTTCAGTTTACATTAACCTATATTGATTTAGGAAACGAAACTTGAGCCCATGGAGACGGGTGCGGGCGTGCACATATCGATACAAAAAAACAACGTGGATGGGTGGAAAGGCGAATGAGTGAGACAAAAAAAACAGGAAGGGAAAAGCCGACACGGTGGGGTGATGTTGGGATGTGGAGGCGAAAATAAACCGTGCGCATCGGACTAACAACTCCCCTCTATGGAGTAGAGATATATGTGATTTTGATAAGATAAAATATATATATGTGTGATTTGGTAAGATGTTATTTTTTTAATTAGGAAATTTGTGATTGTCATTTAATAGTAGAGATAATGATAGCAATATATGGCAGCACATTGAGGAATATCTTATTTTGTTTTGAAAGGTTATCGAGAGTAATCTTATGTGTGCCTTTCCGGAAGGTGATCTCACATATATGATATGATTTCTAAATTCTTAATTACCCACTATTATTTACGTGATTGAATTGAATCATTATCATCCGTCAAAGCAAGCACGAAATAAGATCTTCCCCTTTGTTGGATGACAAAAAAGTCTGAAGACACGCTGGTCCAAACATTCAAGGACAATTATGTTTCCTCCTGTTGTAGCTGCCCTCAGTTGGGAATTTGAAACCGTGGCTTCTGATAGTGAGCTGGAGCATTTGGTCCATGCAGGCCGGACGGCATCCGAAGGTACACACGCTGACACGCATCGGCAGTACAAAACGAGGGAAACGGGGAAAATGAACGCAGCCGTGATCCGGTTTGATGGCATCGAATATTTTTCTCGTGTCAACCGATGAATGCTCCCCGGCCTTTCTTCCGGCACCGCACGCGCCAATCGGGTGCGCGCGCGAGAGGACCAGTCGGTCGGTTAGTCGGGCCGGCCCAACCAACCCCCGAGCGACCGAACCAACCCCAACCCGGTGCGGACACGATAAAGTCATGACGCTAGCCGCCCGGGACGATGGACAAACAAACCAAGTCGTCGCCAACTCGCAGCCCCGCCGTCGCTCTCACGGTCACCACCGGCACGGCAGCCTGCTCGGCCCCCGGGCATACAGCCACGGCACCGGTCGATCGACATGGACCCTCCCGCGACGGCCGGCTCCCCCTCCCCCACCACCGCCACCACCTCCTCCTCGCTGCGGAGGCGCACCGCGCTCTCCGTCAACACGTCCGCGCCGGGCCGCGGCGGCAGGGGCATGGAGCGGGAGAGCAAGGAGGCGGCTGAGACGGAGAGGGACGTGGAGCGGGCGGCGGGGGCGGAGCCGGTGAGCCCGGCGGGGCGGCTGTTCCGGGAGGCGCACTTCAACTGCTACATCGTGGCCCTGCTGGGCCTCGGCGCGCCGGTGGACGTGGCGGCGGCCCGCGCCGCGCTGGAGGCCACGCTCGTCCGCCACCCCCGCTTCTGCAGCGTCCAGGTACGCGCACGCCGGCCGCCTGCTCTCCTCCACCATCCTCTTCCTCTGCTCCCCACCCTCCCCGCCTCCTCGCAACTTGCGCAGAGAAAAGAAAAGAATAGCGAGAAAGATTGTGGCAGCAGTTGGTTTCCTCTGTCCCGAGATCGGCGAGCGGCACATGCCGTGGACCTTCCATGATCGACGCACGTGCTCCAGCTGTGGGGTCGGCAAAGCTGTCGATCGATCGTGCAAACCACGACACGCGTACATCACGGAGGGAGATTCCTGCCGCCCTCGCCGTACCGCCGACGAGCAAATTCAGTAAGATTGGGCACGGATTGGCTTGCCTGCGCCTAGGAGGAAGATTGCGTACACGTAGACTCCATGAGAGGCGCGATCAAACAAGCCTTGCCGTTCCTCCTCAACTTGTCGATAGGTTTCTCCTACTCCTAGCATCGTACAGTAGTAGACAAGAGGAATCTGATGCTTGATGCGAGGTGGAAAAACATTTTACTGTTTCACTCATCCGTCGGTCAGTGCTAGCAGCTGTTGCTCCTTTTGTGGCCGATGATTGATTCGGTGCCGCACTTGATTGTCGCCGTGGCGCCCGCCCAAGAGGGCGGGATGCTAATATCAGGGTGCATGTCGTCCCGTTCTGGCGGCGTGGGTGCGTACGAGACGTGAAATCACCCAAGGGCGGCCGCGTAGACATGACCCCTTTTTGCGCCCTCCGCCCTCGGATTCATGGCAACGGTCCAAGCACACCACGGCAACAAATTCCACTTTGCCGTCATGACCGGCGACCGGGGTGAGTGGTGATCGATCGCTGTCCCCCAAAAATCAATCCCGTTCGGGCGTCGACGTGCAGGAAAGGGAAACTGAAGAAAGCTGGCCGCCTGCCCGCCTACTACACATAAATAACTCAGGAGTAGTATCTTCTAATTATGTCGATCCTATCACCAAAACAGATTCCATTTTGATGTCGTGGTGATTGCCCAATGTCCCGTTCAATTTATACCTTTACTTTCTGTAGCACAAAGCCGATGTTTTCTCTACTCTCGATCTGGAACGACGGTCAGCCGTTGAGGAGGAGATGCCACTCCAATCAGTTTGCGCCGGCCGACGAACGGTCGTGCAGCCTTCAGCATGCATCAAAGCAGAGCGGCCATTGGAGACCATGGCGATTTTAGCAGCCGTTTGACTGGGAATTCTGTGCGCACCGGCAGACAGGCCCGCGCTCTGGAAATTTCAGCCAACGAAACTGCTCCACGGACGACACTGGTGCCCGACGTGTGCACGATAGGTAAATCCAGCGTCGTGTGATGTTTCACTCATACGCAGGACGATACTCATGATTTTATCGTGTGCATAGCATAGCTCCAAATTCATTCATTGCGTGCGACTTGACAGATTCCACTATCATGAAAACAGATTACATTTGCTGTCGTGGTGATTGCCCAAAGTACCGTTCAGATTATCCTTCCCTGTCTGCAGCACGAAGCCTATGTCTTCTGCACGGGTGAATCGCATAAACCCATCACATTGATGCCTAGGTTTCACATAAAACATCGGTTTACAATCTTTTGTCATAGACGACTAATTCATTGCGTAACCATTTACAGAAAACACTAGTCGACGGCTTTGACCCATTTGATGATGATTATGACAGCCTATTTTTGCCACAAACTCCTCCACTCCCTAAAGAAACTCCCTCCCTCCCAACGCGACCCCGGCCTCCCAGCGCCGCCACGTCCCTTCTCCCTATAACCCCGGCCCTGCCCCTCGCCTAGGGAAGCACGGGACACCGGCGAACTAGTCGTGTCCCCGGCGCTCCTATGAGGGATCCCGGGCATGAACCGCGAGATGATGTGGGACTGCAGCTATCTAGCCGTGATCGACGCATGCCATTTTAGAGAGAGAGAGAGAGAGAGAGAGAGAGAATCGGCCACGGTGGAGCACTTTGTCCGCCACCGAGCGCATGGGCCGGCCCCACTGCCGTGGCGCCTTGTTGTCGGCGACCCCAACCACTCGGCTCCCAGCTACCGGTGGTGCCGCCCCGACACTAATCGACGGCGTCCCCATCCATCTACGATTAGCAGCAAGCCAGCAATGTAGCCGTGTACATGACCTAGCCGCCGCCCCCTCCTCTAGTACCCGTCTCACCACCGCCCGGTTCGGACGCGGCCACCGGTCGATGGCCACGCACCGCCCCCCTTCCTCCTCCGTGCGCGATGGCCATGGCCGGCGACAAGACCCCATGAGCGACCCAAGGCAAAGGAGCATCCTCATTTTTTGTCCGGGTCATGTCCGTTCTGCTCCATTTCGAGACTAAATTTGTTCAAGATTTGCGTCCAAAGCGGACACGGCCGCTCCTTGTCCGCTACTCGTCCGTCCTGGCCCACTAGCCATACACCCACCCACCCCCACCTTTCTTTCTCTCCCCAACCACCCACCCACCGAAGGCTGGCAAGCAGGCGGGTACGCCCGGCTTCAACCCGGCGCTGCTGTGGGCGTGCTGGGACGGGGCGGCCGCGGCAAGCAGGGCACCGACTCGGAGCAGGGAACGGGCGAGCGCGGCATGGCACGAAGTGCGGCACAAACGGGGCGGGGAGGCGCGCTGGCCGCACGATCTCGCGTTGAGGGCACGGGCGGGGCACGCGTTGGCTGCGGCACCTCGCTGGAGCAGCCATTGAAGACCATGGATGTCAATTACGCAGCCTTCAGTTTGACTGGTAATTCTGTGTGCACCGCCAGACAGGCCCGGACGGGCTCTGGAAATTTCAGTGAATTCATTCATTGCAACGCGACAGAGACGTGCTTACACAGGACCATGAAGCAGTTGCACGTCGAAATCAAAATTTGATTCATGCCTACGCCTTCTTTGTCACACACACTTCCTTGGGTGCGCCGATTATCGGTCTGGCGTGTCCGAAAACGGCAACTTTTTTGTTTCCATTGGGAACGAAACACCCAACAAACCGTTTACTACCAGAGGTTTAGTCCCCCCGCAAAAACACACACACACAGAGATTTAGTCCCCCCGCAAAAAAAAAGTCAAAAAAAAACAGAGGTTTACACCGGAGAAATTAGCGCCAAGTCTCGAAAGGAGGAATTGTGAGCACAAACAAGGGGAAAATATCAGGTGATACAAGCCCTCATATGCTTCCATGCTACTAGCTTGTAAAATTCAAATTTTAACATAGCAAAAAATTCAGATCAAAATTTGAAATACACATGAAGATACAAAAAAAAAAGAAGACAAAATTGAGATGCGGATAGTGTCATTTTTCGCTTTTGGCTTCTTTTGACGCTAGTCATATTGGATTTGTCTTTCATGTTTCTTCATGTGTATTTTAATTTTGATCTAAGTTCTTTAGGGGCCGTCGAGATGTGTGTTGTCAACATCAATGACCCTTTTAAGATTTTTTTTTGACATGTTTACATTTAATTATTTTTTTAAAGTTGGTACCATGAGAGCATTTGAGGGTTAGTATCACCTGGTATTTTCCCAACAACTACTATATGCACTAGCAACTACTACTATGCCGGAGCAGTAACACCCATGGCTCTCGGGAACGCGCTCGCGACGACGCCGCCCTGAGCCCTGATCTCTCTCCTCCGGCCCTCCGTGCGTCAGGCTCGACCAGATCCGGGATCCTCGTCGAACCCTCACTCCGCAGCAATTCTTCTTCCACGAAGCTCCCTTGTGCTCCTCTGCCTCCCGCCCATCAACTCCATCGGCCTCGACCCGATGTGATGGCTCCTTGCACTGCCCCGAGATAGTCGAAAATCTCGGGAGGGGGAGGGGGATCTAATCTAAGTGTCCCTAAAAACAATTCTTGAGAAAATGATCCAAGGCTTGTGTGTGTGTGTGTGGCCCCAACATAGCTCCGCCACTGGCTCCTTATCCGTGCCCAGCCTACGTCCGCGTCGGCGGCGGTTGCAGCTGCCACTCTGGCCAGGCTATGTGTCGGCTCTGCGTACGCGTCGGCTGCTGCCATTCCAGCCGAGCGGAGCGCCGGCGGCAACTATGGCCTTTTTGGGCTTCGCCTCAGCGTTCGAGCCCCTATTCATCGGCCTAGAATCCTACTTCCTCTGTTCCTAAATGTAAGTCTTTCTAAAGATTTTAATGCGAATTACATACGGATGTGTATAGACGTACTTTAGAGTCTAGATTCACTCATTTTGTTCCGTATGTAGTCCGTAGTGAAATCTCTAGAAAGACTTATATTTAGGAACGGAGGGAGTAGATGACCTCGATGCTCTTGTCGTCTGCCTTGCCCGGCGACCTATCTGGTTTGGGCGATGTGGTGATGCCCGTCGGTGTGCAGGAATCTTCCAATGCTCTGGCAGCAAGCTCCCAATGCGGTCTGCAGCTCGTCCCAATCGCTCCACTTGCGCCGCTTCAGATGTCGACTGCACCGCCCACCGCAATCGCTCTTGCGACGGATGCCCTTGCTTTGCGCGGGTTGGACCCAACCATTAGTGGGCAGACGGCCGACGCTCGTCCCAGTTTAGTCCACCTGTCACAAGATATCTGAAGTTCTAGATTTGACGAAAGTCAAGCGTTCTCAAGTTTGTAAAAAACATACTTTATCCAGAACCTCTAGCATATACGTATGAGAATGTTTTTGTCGTGGGAAAAACTTCCGATCATAGGTAACAGAAATACATCTGGGTCCGATATTATCTAGCGATAGTTGCAAGCACTGTAGCACACCACCATTATTGCCTGGGGCCGAATAAATCTTGTTGACACAGTTGAAAAGTTGTCGCACTAAGACCTAACGGGACCAGCACCTAAAATAACTACCGTCGACGATGAAGAGAAGCGTAGATTGAAAGAATCCAACCTGTAGACAAACGAACACGGACGAACGAAAACTAAATCTAAGAAAATCCAGCAAACAATAACACCGATCGAATCCCGAGAGATATGTTGGAGACACACCTCCACACGTCCTCTGACGATACTAGTCGCATTGCTAGGACGAAGGCTAGACGGGGCAAACCTTATTCCATCTTCAGTAAGCTGTCACAGCCCTGACCTTCCTGAACAAAACACAAACCCCTAACCAAACTAAAAAAGGACACAAAAAAATAGAGAAGGAAGCCTTCGTTGGCAATGGCTGTGGTCCGCCACTCCTCCATGGCCCCTAGGAGATGAGGCAGGCCGCAACGTGAGCTAGGGAACCCAGGCGCCTCGCGAGACGAAGGGTGTGGAAATATATTTTACGATGAATCTGATGATACCAATTATAGGAGTAGAAGTTGGTAGTATATTTTTTGTATTTTTTTAAACTAAAAAAGACCTAAAATATAATTTTTTAACTTAAGACCAAGCTAGAACTTTTAATATTTTGAAACAAAGGTAGTATGTGCTTCGATGACTTGACTTGTTGCAAAATTTATGGCATGATTGTTCACTCAGCTCGCCATAGTGAAAAACAGAGTAACAAAGCACACGTTGCGTTGCAGGTGTCGGACGACGTGAAGAAGAACGCAAAGCCACGGTGGGTGCGGACCACGGTGAACCTGGACGACCACGTCGTCTTCCCGGACCTGGACCCTGCCGCCACGTCGGCCGACCCCGACCGTGCCCTGGAGGACTACGTGTCCTCCCTGTCCACGCGGCCCATGGACCACTCCCGCCCGCTCTGGGAGTTCCACGTCATCAACCTCCCGACCTCCGAGGCGGCCGGCGCCGTCGCCATCCGCATGCACCACTCCCTCGGCGACGGCGTGTCGCTCATCTCGCTCCTCACCGCCTGCACCCGCAGCGCCGCCGACCCGGCCAGGCTGCCGTCGCTGCCGTCGCCCCCGCCGCCGCGGCGCTCCGGCGCCGCCCCGCCGCTCTCGGCCGGCGCCCTCGCGCTCGCCGCGTGGGCCTGGTCGCTCGTCGCGCTCGCGTGGAACACGCTGGTGGACGTGGCGCTCTTCGTGGCCACGTCGTGGTTCCTGCGCGACGCGCCCACGCCGTTCCTGGGGTCCCCCGGCGTCGAGTTCCGCCGCAAGCGCTTCCTCAACTGCACCCTGGACCTCGACGACGTCAAGCTCGTCAAGAATGCCATGAAGTGTGTAAGATCCTCGTACCTTCTCTCTCTCTCTCTCTGTTGATTACCAGTGACTGATCTCTGTTAGCTCGCCGACTTGACACTGAATCTGAATGGTGCAGACTGTGAACGATGTGCTGGTTGGCGTGACCTCTGCGGCGCTGTCGCGCTACTATTTCCGCAAGACCGGTTCAGGCGAGAGCAGCAGCGACAAGAGAAAGCAGCGGAAGAACATCCGCATGAGATCGGCGTTGCTCGTCAACATTCGGAAAACACCCGGCCTGCATGTAAGCCTGAAATTGGCTTGTACATTTTCCTCCAAGAAGATTTATTCCCTCAAAAGCTATCTACAGTTTAAAAGAGTTACCAAGACAGTTCATGAGTGATTCTGAACTTGTGCTTTGAGCAGACATTGGCACAGATGATGGATCCCAGTAAGGACAACGCTGTCAAATGGGGGAACCAGATCGGTTACATCGTGCTCCCGTTCCATATAGCGATGCACGACGATCCACTCGAGTACATCCGGCAGGGGAAGAAGACAGCGGACAGGAAGAAGAGATCTTTGGAAGCGGTCTTCACATATTGGAGTGGAAATCTAGTGGTGAAACTCCTCGGCATTAAGGTATTTCCTTCTCCTTAGTTTTGATATGACAATGCTTGCTTGATTTATCAATGTTGTCCAAATCCATAATCAAAAAACTTCACCAAAATTTCAAAGTATTCATACATAATTGTGTTAAACAAATGTGAAATTTTTCACAGGCAGCCGCGGCTCTCTGCTATGGCATGTTCACTAACACCACCATGTCATTCTCAAGCCTGGCCGGACCTACCGAGAAGGTGGAGTTCTATGGTCATCCGATCGTCTATATAGCGACAAGTGTCTACGGGCATCCACATGTAAGCACTTTCCCGTTGGTATTCATTCATCACTAACAAGGTGACCAATTGCGCGGATTCCTGATTTTTACAGCCTAATTGTTTTATTTGATTGTGTGTAGGCTCTAACCGTGCATTTTCAAAGTTACATGAACATCATGAAGCTTGTCCTTGCGGTGGACGATGAGCAATTCCCGGACTCTCATCAACTACTGGATGACTTTGCTGAGTCCCTCAGGCTTGTTCGTCAGGCAGCTTCAGCAAGATCGTAGAATGAGTTAAACTTAGATTTTAGCTAGAAGGTAGAGCATGACACAAAATTTGCACCAATGTACTATAGTCAGCCACTTGATGTATAGCCTGGTTGGCGAGTGTACACTCTCCCACGAATCACGAAGCTGGCAACGATTGATTTGTAAAGATCCTTGTCGAATATAAAAAGTCCTTTCTGTTTCATCAGTGTAAAAAATGCTCTTATATTATGGGACGGAGGGAGTAGATGTCAAGTGAAGTAGCGAAGCTCAAGATTGGGATTACCGCCGCCCTAGTCTATATGATGCCAACTTAAGAGATACTAGTGTGAATAATCATACATGATTCCACATTTTTTTTACAACATTGACTTGAAACCAAAGTTCAATCCACATGGTGAGAATAATAGAAGACCAAATATGATGAAGTAAAAGAAATAAGAAGATGCACTATTCACAATTTTTGCCTTTTTTGTTTATCTTGATGTACGTCTCTGTTTTGGTTCAAACTTTGCAAATTAAATATTTTTTGTGGGGGAACTTTACAAAGTAATTAATCATAACATACTCTTTCTCTAAAATACTTTTAGAAAAGTTTCACTATTATTTCCACTACTTTTGTTGTGTAACCTTCCTACTCTATGCAAATATGGCAGGTTATCCATTAGTTACCTGAATTAGTCAATAACCCAATAATTTTTTACATGAATCATTTTCGCAAAAAAGGGCCATCGTCTCCGTAGATTCTTCTGCCTACAGGACAACCTATCACAATATTGATAATATGTAGTGTTTGTTAGTGCACAAGGCGTAATAAGTAACAAAACTAGATGTAAGAATATATACAACAACATGGACGTGGAGTATGTGATCACGGGTGAACAGTAAATTCAAAAATGTAAATTAATTCAAAAAATCTGATATTTTTAGCAAGAAACTTTGACATTTTGTTTACATGCATGCAAATTTTCATGATGAAATAACATTTGTGGAGGTTTGAAAAAAAAAACAAAATTGATGGCCAAACACTTTTGTGGGGGTTTGGATGAATGAAAAAAAATCAGCACTCCAAAATGCTTTTAAAAATAGTCTTTTTGGAGCATCAATTTTGTTATTTTTTCCCATACCTCCACAAATGTGATTTCGTTCCAAATATTTGCAAGCAGGAAGACAATTGAACAGTGTTTGTTGCTAAAAAAATAAGAATTGTGTCAATCTTTCTACTTTTTTTTCTTTCAATTTAACTACTTATTATTACGAAGATGCATTCGACTCGACTGTAGAAACTCCATGTTCAGCAAAATTGGGCTATTCAGGTATCTGCCACGATTATGAGGTAGCGTGGGATCGTAGTGCGGTGCCAAGGGGGCCGTCGCTTGTTTATTAGCGAGCGAGCTGAGCAGTTCATTCCATAAAGAAAACCGGGCATCTTCTTCTCGCTAAGTAAAGGATTTATTTAAATTGGGGCACGTCTATGTCCTGCATGACGCGGGATCGAGCGTAGTAGCCTCGCCTCAAGTGACGAGCTAATGAGTAGGCCTACTAGTGGGTTTCTTATTTCGTTCATTTGTTTTGACTTTTAACCTTTATTTATATTTTAGAGTATTCTAGATATATTTCTTAAATTACTTTATTTAATTCCCGAAAACATTACCCCACGTTTTGAGAAATGCTAATGTAGTGTATAAAATGTTTCCCACATTTTCAAGAAATGTTTGTGCAATTCAAAAAAAAAAAAACGTTCATGACAGTAATAGAAGGTCCACACTTTTTTTGTTAATGCAATTTTAGAAATATTTATAAAAATATAAAAGCGTGTATGTATTTTATAAAATTTTTGGTACGTTTAAAAGCTGTTAAAAATATTACAAAATGGTCACATGTTTAAAAACATGTTTTATAACATTTTAAAAATCATTAAATAATTTTTTTGTTTGTGCAGTTTAATAAAAAATGTTCATAACATATATTAAATGTCATAAAATTTGAAAAAAGGTTTGTAAATTTTTAATGAAATGTTGATGAACATTTGTTGGAAATGTGAACGTGTGTTTAAAATTTTTCATTTTGTATTTATAAAATGTTCAATGTTCAATTTGTAAATGATCAATATGCATTTATTTAAATGTTCAACCTGTATCTAAAATGTTCAACGTGTGTTTTAACAAGTACACATGTATTTTTAAGAACGAACAAGAAAAACCAAGAGAAAAATCGATGAAAACCTATATGGAGAAAACAGAGAAAAAGAAGAAAAAAAAGTGAAAAAGGGCGCGCATAACCTATCCAAACCCTACCAAAACAGTGGGGAAGCATTCTCGTTCCGAAACCGTCGTCAGCAATTATTGGGCGACCCACTTGAAGGATCTTTGTATGCGAGCGTCAATTGTTCCCGGTAGTAAGCTTCAGTGTGTAAGTCGGGCGACCCATTGTAGTCTTCGATCAGTCGCTTTGCCATGATGGCACGCATCCCCATGAACCAACGCTGACAGAACGAGGAAGAAGCAATCGTACGGCTCGCGAGGGAACAGATCTCACGCTGAGATCGGACGACCGTCGGTCCTTCTCGATCGTCGCGTTCCCGGCCAGTTGAGGACTTGAGGTACACGCTCCCGCGATCGCCGATTGGTAATTTCTAATTTGCTATGCATATGCATGCAGTTATATATTTCAAGAAAAAAACCAGCTAGTACGTACTTCCTTCGTTTCTAAATATTTATCTTTTTAAAGATTTTAAATGTCTAAAATATGTCTATATACATCCGTATGTGATAGTTCATTTGAATCTTTAAAAAGACAATAACATTCATGCATGCGTCTCCTCGGCAAAGGTACAGGCCGGCGCGAACAGGCGCTCGCACCCACCCGATGCATGCGGCGTCCACTCGATCAGCGCACGCGGGAGCACGCCCCAGTACTGCGCTGGCCGACTGCTCGTGTGATGCGCGCGATTAATGCAGACCAATCAGCCAGTCCCCGTCTATAAGAAAGAACCGCACAAGCTGCCGCACCCGTCTGCCATTATTCCCGGCGAGTCGGCGACGAAATACTGACTCCATTCTTTCCAGGTTTCGCCATATGTCCGGCTCCTCCGAGCTGCCTTCCATCGATGGCGATGGCGGCGGCGGCATGCCGTGGCAGACCGCTTCGGCAACCGTTGCCCGGCCACTGCCCATATCCGGCTCGCACGTCCTCAAGATCGACGGCTACTCCCGCACCAAGAGCCTCGTCAGCGGCGAAGGCGTCACGTCCGAGACCTTCGCTGTTGGACGCCATCGCTGGTTCATGAGGTACTTCCCGGACGGCCACTCGTCCGACCAATCTGGTTGGATATCCATCTATCTCCATCTTGTTCACCCCGATAGTGATGACGATCACGTCGATGCCCGGTGCAAGATCAGTTTGCTCGACCAGGACGGGGAGCCGGTGCCGTCGCATGGCGCCGACAGCCAAACATGCCACACCTTCTCGAGCAACACGGGACCATGGGGCTGTCCGTGGCTCATCACAAGGAGGGACCTGGAGGAATCGGTTTACCTCAAGGACGATGTTTTCAGTGTCAAGTGCGAAATCACCGTGCCCGGGGAGATCTTCACGGAGCCCATCTCCATGTTTGTCGCCGCGCCGCCTTCTGACATGCACCGCCATTTTGGCCGGCTCCTCTCCACCGGCGACGGGGCTGATGTCACGTTTGAGGTGGGGGGCGAGAGGATTGCGGCGCACAGGTGCGTGCTCGCCGCTCGGTCATCGGTGTTCATGGCGGAGCTTCTTGGACCGGAGAAGAAGGAGAAGGCCGGTGCTTCTTGTGTGCGCATCACTGGCATGGAAGCTGGAGTGTTTAAGACCATGCTCCATTTCATTTACACAGACTCGCTGCCAGACATGGAGGAGGGTGACGCGGTAGTGATGGCTCAACGTCTGCTTGTAGCGGCGAACGAGTATAAACTTGAGAGGCTAAAGTTGCTTTGCACGCAGAAGCTCTGCAGATACATGGACAAAGACGTTGAGCCTCATCAACCGTTCGTGAGCTTTGTTTGATGAGTGTTCTTCTTCTGTTCTTCAGCATCTCCTTCCTTGTGTTCCGTCCACGTCGAGCCATGTAAAAGTAGTACAAAGATCGCCATAAGGGGGCACGCGATTGCTCATTAATTTGAGATCCTGGTTAGGGAGAGCAGGAATATCAAATGTTCGCTTTACTAGTTCAACATCATATGTAGCCAGAGTGATTGACAAAATTAGGGGTTTGTGTCCCATTGAGCTACCATTTTAAAAAAAGTGACCGGCAACTACCAAAATTTTCTAATTTCGTGACAAACTACCACTTTCAAATAATGTCTAGTTTAGACAATTTTAATGTGTTTATGACAGGCGCGGCCCATCTGTTAGCGTTGACGTGGCGGCAAAGTCAACTTCACAGGGCGTCCGGCAGGGGCGGCTGCGTCGGCCTCGCCCGAACCCGGGCGGCTGTTACGCGCGGCGGGGCGCTGGAGGCCCGGGCGCCGGCGGCGAGCGCCGGCGTTGGGTGGTGGGTAGCAGCGGCAGCCCGGAGCGGCAGCAGCAGGCAGCATCGCGGGCGGAGCGGCGCGGGACGGTTGCGGCACAGGCGGGCGGCGGCGCGGGACGGTTGCGGCACAGGCGGGCGGCGGCGCG